GCCAACCTGATACCGAAGGCCAAGGTCATCCAGCAAACTGGAATCGAGGATCCATAGTCGCGTGTAAGAAAGGGGGCGGCGGTACGGAATACGGGGTACGGCTACTCAAAATGCATCGTGATGCAAGATGCATTTGCCCGCTATTTGACCTATCTGCTCAGGTCCACCGTTCGAGGCTGGCGGTCGCGGATTGCGATGGTCGCAGATGAACGAATTCAAACAGTGATGCAATGTTAAACTTCCATCAGTACCAATCTCCCACACTCCGATTCGGAGATGCTCCACAGGCATTTCCCTGCGTAGCCAAAAAAATCGTCAACACGACCACGCAAGACCAAGTGACACAGACTGGTTCTGTCATTGAACCACGGTTGAGGCATCACCACGACCATCCTTGGCGCAAAGGAAAAGAGGTCATTTCACCAGCCCTTCCAGACGTAGAACGTCCCAGGGCCAGGCGTGCCTCGCGGCAGGCCAGCGTCGCTGGCGACTGGTCGCACTCGCTGGGCTTTGGGGTCATCAGACGAAGCTGGGGCCGGGCTTTGAACAGGAGCGGAGCCACGTTCGCAATCGATCAAATTTTCAGATCACCTGAGCTCCAGCCAGACATCCGGGCGGCGGAGAGCTCCAACCTCAGACCTGTTGCTGTCCAGTCCAGTTGCGCGGCACACTCACACACACCAAAAGGCCAACGCCCCTTCACCAGTGTGGCATTTTGGAGGTACCTGCGCCAGATGTACCTCTAGCTGGCGAAACGTTAGGAACGTTTCGATGGCTGTCAATAAAACAAAGGGTGCCTGTCGGTCGTTGCGAGAAAAGCTGCGTAGATATTTCCGAGTTGGTTGTCCAGTCGGAATGAGGCTGAGATGCGTGATTTGGGAACCCCCCATGGAAATTGAAGATAAGAAGCATCGAAAAACCTATCCGTACCCCAGCTGACGATCGCCAGTTGGGGGCTTCGACAAGGCACAACGAGCATTTGCTAGATTGGCATCCTTTCCCCCCACGACCTGAAGGCTGAAGGCTGAAGGCTGAAGCCTTTGGTGGGCAGTCTAAGCGTGGGCATCACACCTGGGCTTCGAGCACGGCGGTACCGATGCGATGATCAGCGACGGGCAGCATTGGGAAGTGCCGTAACAGCCCTGAAAGCGTTTTGCAGGCTTGCAGCACAGATTGGCACGAATCGGCAGCCCCAAGGGCCCCAAAAGGCCTAGCGACATTTGGACGCTATCCCTGCGAGACTACGCGGTAAGGTAACGTTAGCGACCACACTAATGGATGCCTGCCTCAGATCCTTGAGAATGCAGAATTTGCATCTCCGCGGAGCGCCCCTCTTTCCAGTCGTGACGCAGGCCACAGCAGGTCGAAGGCGGTTGAAGTTGGTGTGGTGGTCTTTCCTGGTGTGGGAAAGGTTTGGGGGAGAGAGAGAGAGAGAGAAAAATTGGCGGCCAATAAATGTATCCGTACGGTTTTGTTACCCATCCAAGACAAAACGCACGCCTCTCATTGTTACGGCAGGACCCGAGCATTCGGGAGAGGGCAATGGCGGCGGCGGCGTTTCGTCACACCTTCGTTCATGCTGATTGCTGCGATGTTGAAATATTTTTCCAACCCTCCGTCATGCTTGGAGATGTTCTCCAAAAAAAAAAAACCTCCAACGCTTGACGCACTCCGACTCTTTGGGTTGGCGGCTGGTCCGACATCGTCTGACTTTTCGAATATAGCCGCCAAAGTTCGTCTTTTCGCCAAAGGTCGGGACACCGTCACCAGAAAGGGAGCCAAGACTTGTCGGCCGCGAACGACTTGTTGAGTTGGCAGTCGATCAGACCGTGCAAGTGCAGTAAGGCATTTGCATCGTCCGTCGTCTGTCGTCCGTGAACACGGTGGTCGGTTGACCGTCGAAGAAAGTCTCTCCTCTCTCACCTCATTTGGTGGCTCCGTTCAGGTGACCGTCTGGACGAATTGGTCCTGGCGTCGGATCGGGGGTCCAGGTGGTCCGAGCCCTGATACGTACCTGAGCAGAATAAAGAGTGGGGCCCATGAGGCTTCCATGTTCTAGAAAACTTCTAGTCTCGAGAGAAACCGGGCAAGTTGCCAAGTCCTCTTAGTCTCCGAGTTCCGGAGCATTTCCGCGCAGCGCGGTCCTGCCATCGTTCGCCGCGGCATCCGAACATCGGAAAGCCAATGGTCTGACACAAAAGCCAAAAGGGCCTTTCGCCGCGTCTCATTCTGTTGCACTCTCTTCCCACGTTCCCTTCCCTCCTTTCTTCCCAGTTTCCTGCAACGTAATTCATCCCATCCCGTGCTTGGTACGCGAAGCCCTAGGGCGGGGCGCTCCCTCTGTGCCTCTTGTGCTCTCTTCCCTGGTGGACCGCGGTGGTGGAGAATGGAACATGGGGAGGGGGGATTCCTTCAGATGCAAGTCTTGTCGTTTCATTGCCTCTTTGGGTCAAGCTAGTCGAGGTATGTGGGAGGGGGGTAGCTGGCCGCCGGCCGCTGCTGCTCATATCAGCACCTGGCACGTAGTGTAGTACTACAACGGTCATCGCAAACACGACGTGCAGCAGTCAATAGTCTAGACTGCAGCGCGGTTACGTCGCTCAGTCAGGTGACGAGGTGACGAGGATCGCAAAGCCCAGGTACGAACAAAGATACCCTTCAAGGTTCGCGAGATCGTGATCTTCGGGGCGTTGCGGAGAGGGCTCCGGGCAAGGGGATCATGAAAGCCTGCAGACTGCAGTAGGTAATTAGACATTTGGCATTCCATGGGAACCTTTGTCACGTCGCGATGCTTGGCATGATGCCTCACAAATAAGCGTTCGGACTACATCCGGCTTTTTGCCAAGAAGTGTCGATGCCGCCGCGTCCGATGTTATCAATCTTTGGGCAACACACACACACACACACACCCAGTGACACCACCCCAATGTGAAACCTGGTCCGTACCGTGGGACATAGAGAGATGGTTCGGGAAAATCTGCTCAAATCCTTTTCGTTTCTTCGGGCCAGGGCATTGTGTTTGGCTCTGCTCGTGATGGGTTTGACGTTGAGCGAGTCAAAGTCATGACAATCGATGTTTCGAGGAAAGGGAAAGTGAGTGAGGGAGTCGGTGGCATGTCGGGCAATTTTTCAACGTCTTTTTGAGTTCTCAACTGTGTACGGCTACGAAGTACGGTCGACTCTCTCTAACCACGAGGGTTCGGTGCATTGGCGGCTCAATGCTAACCATGGTTTCTCTGTGTGAACCCTGTCCATTTACTGCGACCAGCAACTCTCAACTACTCCGTAGACTGTGGAAACTTGCAACAGATTCAGCTTTACGCTCGAGTCATCACGAACATAGCCGCCATTAAATTTGTCCAGAAACTAAGCAATTCAGAGCCGTCTGAGGAATAATTACGGAAAAGAACCGCGCTGTCAATGCACGTCCTATACCTGAGGTTCCAAACCGACTCCAACATGACGCTAGTCATCCTAGTAACAGCACAACCAATCACAGATATTGCCTAACCTTCATAGATTGATTGTTGACTCTCAAAATTCAATCCGGCATGGTGTAGCGGTTAGCATACTCCGCTTTCAATCAATCAAATGATTCAAAGTCCCGGAGAGATCCGAGTTCGACTCTCGGTGTCGGAACACCAAATCTTTTGATGTTTCTCGAAGCTCATCTTTTGTTGGTTGGTGTTCCGGTCATTCTTTTTGGCGGTGGATTAGAAGACAAAGACTCAGGGAGCAAGAAATGGAGTTATGGTTTCGCGCTGGGCTGAGTCCGCGTCTCTTATTTACACATCTGTTATGCAGCCTGACCTGGGAGACGTGAGTTAGTGACATGCATTCGCATGTGAGAGCTGAGGTTGTAATTTAGTCATGCTGCTTGGGTGATACCGGCGTGGGAACAGCTGTTATAGGATTATCACCCTGCAGGAGATCCATGAAGAGTGACCATTGATTAGTTCTCGAAAGAGGTTTCAAACCAAATGTTCTTCATCCTCTCGTCCAACTACCTTCGTGGTTGAATGTGCTGACCGTCTCAAGTTCCTGTTTTATCAACCAAATTCGCCAGATGTCTCCTGTCTGTTAAGCTAGACGGCCCAGAAATGAGAATGGAGTTATCGAGCCTCAGCAGACTATTGCTGTTCGAGGTATAAGGTAACAAACAAACACAAGCTATCTTGGGCATGAAAGTGGTAGAAGTAGTATCTCAAGGTGTCCAAGTAACGGTCCTAGATCGCAGCGCTTCTTGGTACATATGGCCCGGCATCTTCATTTACTGATGAGGTCAGACGAGCTCCTGTTGATCCGGTGTAAGGTTTCAAGTTGTTGATCCGCGCCGACTACCGCAGACCTGGTATTACGCTGCTAAACCTCTCGGCTCAGACCCGGGCCAGCTGAAGTACTTATGTCCACATGAGGGACAGACTTAGAGATACATCTCTTTCAGATGCGAGTGACTTCGAGAACAAATGATATAAAGTCAACCAATCGTCGACATCCATCGCGACTCATAGTAATGTCTTCCGCGTTATGTCTCTGAATTCAATGGATAACTGCTCGGCTTCTTTCTCATAGTGCCCTTGGTAGTACACGTTCTTCCTATATACGAGAAGGCATAACACCCATCTCTCTAGATGGATGAGATGAGCACTCAGGTACAGAACAGATGTTTTCTGCCACCAAGCACCAATCAGGTGCTGTGGGACTGAAGCACACCTGATGATCAGCTACCAAGTCCTAACTTCATGGTTGGCAGATATTGACAAATATGAGAACTGATCCGCCCACACTCAATGTAACATGCTTGCAAGATTGTGTATCCGTTGTAACTTCACTCTGTTCCAATAACTTTCTCCAGCCAAGCATGCTATTCAAGCAGACAGCTTGCTACACACAATTATCAACCAGGTACAGTCGAGCAGGCAGTGAATTCAAACATTGTCAGGCTGAAGAGACCTACTTGCGCACGTGACGAACTTCTCAAAGAAGCTTCTCGGTTACATATGACCTTCAAGTTACTTAAATCAGTCGAATCCTGTCGGACAGCACTGGCAGCTAATATATGAATGCAAGATCGACCACGTGAACAGAAAAGTCAAGTTATCAGGTCTCGACAGGAATACACACACATAAGCTGGTTATTCAGATGGGAGAGAAGGGTGAAGTGTGCGCATAGCCCATAGTCGGTCCTTCCTCTTTGAACTTCAGGTAATTATCACGCTTTTCACCTTTTTTTCTCTCTGCCTCACCAAAGGGGATTCACCTCTCAAACGACAACCAGATTGCGAACTCCTACAACACCTCTTTATCCCCCATCGCTGGCTTCTACCTACCTACCTAACTTGACCTCACTAACATCATCACTCACAACCCATCACAACCCACCTCAAAAAGCATCACTTCAACCCAAACACACACATCAACCATCTCTACCTTGCCTGGCAATGAAGACCAAAACCAGAGCCAACGCCGCCAGAGCCGGCCCCTCGGAAATCCTCTCCGACGCCCCAGGAATCACCCGCCAGGAACGCATCCTCATCACCCGGCTCCTCGGCGGCGCCCGCTCCTTCTTCACCAACCCCCTGACGGACGAGGAGACGACCATGTTCAAGGCCCTCATCTCGCGCCTCATCAGGGCGTCCAAAGACCCGCTCATGCCTGACGCCGACAGCTTCTTCGACAGCGACCGCTTCGAGACGCACTTTTGGGTGTTTGATGATGCGCTGAGAGTCATTATGCAGTTGAAGGCGTGGTATGGACCTGTGGTGCCTCATTGAGTGTATGTGTGGCACCTTTCGTGGCTCTTCGGCTTGCTTTCGATGAGATGTGTTGCTTGCTTGCTGGCAACCCCCCCACCCGGGTTTGCTGCTCTCTTTTTGCGTCTTTTGAGCCTTTCCTTTTGGGGATTACCTTGGTGAGTGTAAATAGACCATTTTCAGCCTGATCTTTGTTGTTAACCACTGGAAAGCAGGTTTCCCTGCTTGTCAAGAATTGGATTCTGGAGATCAAGAACATATCATGCGTACCATAAGCATCGAGTCGAGAACACGGAAGGCAACCTGACACGTGGGAAACAACAATGCAAAACCAGGACTATTGGGAGGACTACGGAAGCAGAAAGTTGGCGGTACACGATTGTGTACGACCGGCGAGATACAAATACGGAACATCAGTTCAATGAATGTAGTGCCTCTGGTCTGTGATAGCTGTCCATTTCGAAGAACTTATTCTGGGGGATGTGGGGGATGTAAGGCTTATAAACACATACTTCAACCTCCTCGCCAGTTACTAGACTCAATACTAGATCAGGGTCGTGTATGTGTAGATGACGCCCTTCTAAGGGAAGGAGCACTTGCTTGAGAGGTCACAGATGAGATGATTGTAAAATTCGGAGTCGACAGTCTTGAGGGTTTTAGCCCCCGCCCCTCATATTATTCTTCATTCTACATGACATGTAACCTCATAGCCGCTCAAATATACACAAAAACAAGCCACACGCTTCTCTACCAGTATTACAGCCTACTCGACTTACTCTCATCCATAATCGCACCACTCATCAACGGCATCTGCTGCTGCTGCTGCTGCATCTGATCCCTCCCGACAACAAGCTCCCGCCCGCCCTTGGTAGTCCACCACGCAACCCCAATCGTAGCCCTCTCGACATCCATCTCGCCACTCACCAGCACCTCCCAAAACCGGTCCCTCACAGGCCGCCGCACGGCCGGGTCCGCAATCTCATTCATCGCCTGCGCCGTCAGCGTCAACCAGTCCTCGACGAGCGGCAGCGGCAGGAACGGAAGCGAGTCCACCAGCGTCAGCACGAGCGAGCTCTGCTCCGAGACGACCTCTTGTTCGGATGTCGTCTCCGTCAGGCCCTTCTCGGCTTGCGCGAGGGCGTCATGCGTGGCGGGAAGCGGCGCCGTGACCGCGCTCAGCGTCTTGAAGCGCACCATTTCGAGGAGCGTCTCGGAGAGCTGCGGCTCCGCGAGGGAGATGGGGAAGGGCGGCGAGACGATCTGCATGACCGTCTTGAAGGCCACGCGGAACTGCCGGGTGGAGATTTGGGCCGGGAACGAGGCGAAGAGGGCGTCGATGTAAAAGGGGACGAGGGTGACGGTCAGGGAGCTGTTGTGCGGGCACGAGAGCACCGAGAGGACGGCGCTGTGGGCTGCTTCGAAGAGCTCGACTGTGGACGCTGTGAGGGCGCCGGTGTGGGTGAGGTAGGCTGTCGCTGGCCTTACGATGAGAGCGTCGCAGGCTTCTGTGGGCATGTTGAGGGGCAGGTGCTCGGCGACGTTGAGGTAAAAGAGGTCTAGTGTCCTGTCGAGAGGGCCGGGAGGCACCACTCCGGCGTGAGGGGGCTTTGTCTCGGTGAGAAAGGAGACGGCAGCATCTCCGAATCGTGCGAGGATGTCGAGAGAGGTAAGATAGGTGAAGGTGTACGCCTGAAACGCGCTGGCTCCGTGTCTGGACGAGATGAAGAATAGGAATCTCAGAGTGAGTAGTGACTTGGTCGCGACCTGGGGTCCCATGACATCGTTCCTCATGCGCGGATCAAGAAGACTACGTCCGACGATGGACTGCAGAACAGCGACTGTGGCGTACATTGTCTTCTTGAGCGTCCCCCAGAGGACCGGCCAAGTCCCCTCGAGCGTATTGTGCTCCAGCCGCGCTGTCTCGTCCGCGGCATCGACCGTCGACAATGGGTTGAGCCGCCACTGCTGAAACAGCTTTTGCGCAAACTCGAGCAGCGAGTCCTGCGCCTCGAGCACAGCTGAAGAGTCCGTCGCGTTTGTGACGGCAAAGGCCGCCAGTCGGGATAGAGGTCCCATTCCGCCCATCAGCGGCTTGCTCTCCATCGCCTGCTGCAGCCTGAACGACGGCGAGGCGGGAGACCACTCCACGAACGGACCGTTCTGCTTGATGTCCCTCCGGATGTCCTCCAAGAACCCACCATCCTGGAAGCCGTCCTCCCCTGTGATGGCGAGCACGGTAATGGGTAGCAGCGCGTTGCAGTTGATCGCGGACTGGTGCAACTCGGAGAGGAACGGGAAGACGTAGTTGAGCGCAAGCACAATCGACGCCGAGGCAAACGACCCGTCCTGACGCTCCAGCGCGAGGTTCGCGGCCGTAACGACGGCTTCCTCTATGGTATTGCGCAGACCCCGCGACAGCGAGCGCTTATCGTTGCCCTCCATGCCCATCAGAATGCCCGTCAGGACGAGGAGATGCTGCCATCTGTTGGAGCGGTCGTCAGCGCCCTTGACCACGGCCCGGACCCACGTCTCGCTGCCGAGTCCACCGCCCTGCCGTGTCGTAGGTGTATGGATAATACGGGAATCATTGTTGCTGGCGGAGGCCTTTGCGTCATCGAGCTCGTTCTGCCGCACCCGTATCGCGGCGCTATTGTAGATTGATATGATGCGCAGGCTCGTGCGCAGGCCGTCGCGGCGGTGCCAGATGGCGGGCGCGATGAGGAGCTGGGAGGTGAGGACGCCGAGGTTCAGCGGGTTCGAGAGGGAGGCGAGGAGGTTCACGGTCGAGCCGACAATCTGGTCCGTCTTGCGGTCATCGTGGACGTTTTGGTACAGCTGCAGGACGGTGTTGAGGAGTCTGTCGGCCGGCATCGTATCGTGTCGTGTCGTATTCGCGAGAACGGTCGATCATTCGGCGGGTTGTGCTTCGATACACTATGATCTACAAACGGGGACGGGAGTGTAATACACAACGGAAGGGGCTGGTGGTGGAAGAAAGAGATGCGGCGGGTTGATGTTGCCGGTGAATGTGATCGAAGCCGGTGCCAATAGCAGGACATTTCGGCGGGCGGGCGCATTTGCCGAGGCACCTAGAGAACCGACGGGACCGCCCTAAAGCCACACCTCGAGCTTAAGCTGCGCCATCCCTGCAACACCTCCCGCCGACCCCAACTGGCACCTGAAGATCGTCCACTCAACCCCAGCAACATCGTCACCGCGCGCGAAACTGCAACTACATCGACAACTAACCTACGAAACCACCTCGAACAAAAAGTCCAGGATCTCGAACCATTGTCCCGAAACACCGTAACCTCTCAAACCCGACTCGAGAGCAGACCTCTGACCCTCCCCAAGAACGAAAAGCCGAAGCAATGTCGCAGACGGCGCGCGACTACCCGCCGACAAACTACAAGACGCCCTCGTTCCCCAGCATCAACTGGCAGCTCCGCGACCTGACAGCCGACCACCGCTGGAGCCTCTTCTATATTGAGGACATTTGGCGCTTCACCGTGCTATGGACGACGATAATCTACAGCGTCGTGCACCTCGGCGCCGCGGCCATCACCATCGCCATGCACACCAACAAGCGCGGGTCCCTGACGTACATTTGGGCCGTGCCGCTGCTGTACCTCATCGTATCGGGCGTGCAGGCGCTGGTCGCGGGTAGTGTTGTTGGGCTGATGTGAGTTTCTGTCTCGTCTCTGGCATTCAGGTCAATATATGGGTGACGAGGGAAGAGAAAGAGAGAGAGAGAGGCTGACTTTGGATATTGTGTCACAGCTTAGCGGCGGTTTACCGTGCCGGTTTCTTCTCCATGTCGACTTGGATCCCGTTATTATGGGGTGTCATCAACGTCCTCGTCCTCATCATTGCGTCCTTTACCATTCAAGGTGGTCTTTGAACACGGATATGGCATGAATACACAAACACCTTTACACACATACACACAGAGCAAAGCAAGGCACGAAAAAATAGGCATTACTACATAGTAGAGCTAGGAACGATTCTGTTCGACACTTCGTCCGATGGCTTTGTTGTCGTCGGCTGCGACTGCTCGACAGTCTTGATTACCCGCGCCGGGTTGCCCGCCACGCATACGAAATCCGGAACGTCCTTGGTCACGACGCTCCCCGCGCCGACGGTCACGCCCTTACCGATAGTGATCCCGGGCAGTACGATGACGTTGCCGCCGAGCCAGCAGTCCTCACCGATGGTGATTGGCTTACCCGATTCTGGCCCGCGGGTGCCGTTGCGGAGACGGGGTTCCAGCGGATGTGTGCCGCTGTAGACTTTTGAGAGGTCAGCTCAGGGGGCGTTCGCGGGTAGCCGGCTGGGCCAAGTATGGAAGAAAGAGAAGGACTTACATGAGCAATTTGGACCGATGAGGGTGCGGTCGCCCACAGTAATAAGGCAGGTGTCTATCCATGTGCTGTTGGAGTTGACATAAACATTCTCGCCGAGCCTATGAGGCGGTGAGTAAGAGATTAGCTTCACCTGGCTGTGGAGGTCCGGGGGTGGTGTCACATACTTCACGTTGTAGCCATAGTCCATCTTTATCGGGGTATCGATCCACGGGTAATCCTCAAGGAGGGCATCGTCCTCGTGATGGCGGAGACGTGGCGGAGGGAGAGGGATCGTGTCCCGGTTGATGCTGGGTGGGTTCTCAAGTCAGATTCATTCACTCCTTGTGCTGGGTATACATGAGGTAATGCATAGGTGTACCTGTGATAAGGGAAGCTCTTGAAAGCTCTTAAACACGCCTGGACCCAACGTTGCGGGGACATGGCGGTACGCGCACAGAGAACGGGCGGGGTGTAGAGATAGTGAACTGAAGAAACAGAGAAGAAACTCACTCTTTCCACATGCCAACGAGGGTACGACGGCTTACATCGCCAGCATTGTTTAGCTTGTCGCAGGCGGCTTTGCAGCGTTTCCTGTCCGCGATGAGGTCCGGGGTGAAGGCCCAGTAGAGCTCGCCATTCCTCATCCGCCTCCTGTTCTCTTCCTTATCGATGGTGCGAATGTCCATGGGTACGTCTTGGAGGATGAGCATGTGGGATATGTCTTTTGTGCGCGGTCGCGCGTATGTTTGTGTACGTGAGTTATGGGTTGATGTGTGTTTATGTTTGCCAAGCTGTGTAAGGCGAGGTAAAGTGAGGTGAGTTCACAACGGGGGTAAGGGGAATTTGGGGTGGAAACAAGCGACTTGTCGGTGAGTAAAAAGGGTTATCCACAGAGAAGGACAAGGGGGAGGAGGAACGGGATTGATGGGTGTAAGAAGCGAAAGCAAGGTGTTTGTTTCTACTGAAGACAGGGCCCGTCTGGAGTAAAGCAGATGGAAACTTAAGGTAGGCCCCCAAGACTTTTTGTACAATGGGAGAAGAAGAAGAAGAAACAGAAGGATCTGTACGGAGTATGGAGGTAACGTATCGATCTCGGATGCCAATTGCCGGCCGTTGTCAAGCTACGGCAGTAGTCTGGTAGTTTAATTCACGAGCTGCCAACCCTGAACAAGAGGCATTAAAGATCAAGTGACCAATGGAGCAACTGGAGCTAGGAAGAAGAAGGGAAAGAAAAAAAAAAAAAAACAGAGCTAGGAGGAATCTGGAGGATGATCTGGTTCGGTGAACCCGAAGCAAGGTACGTGTAAACGGGGAAAGGAAAAAGAAGGGGACCAGACCTGGACCATGTTGGTTGCTGGCTGCTGCTCCTCCTCCTCCCGAGTCCCCAGTGGCTTCCCCCCCCCCCCCCCCCCCCCTCCAAAATGGGAAGAAGAGACAGCTGCCATCACTGAGCAGTATTTTAGCAGTATGTACTCCGTACTTCATACAGCACAGGTTCAAAGCGCATCGAAAAGGCCGCGGGGGCTCCACGCACTTGCGTCACCCGCCCCCCTTAACTCGGCCCGCGCTCGCGCTTGGCCTTACCCGCGTCGAACTGTGTGTGCATCAGACACACGTACTCATTCTCTCTGTCTGTCTCTAGGTATCTGCCAGGCACAGCAAACATTGTTTGGCAGATCCTGTTTCTTTCGTGCCTCTCTCTTCCCTGTGCTTCTTCCTCGCTGAGTAGGGCAGGGGGGCTCTGCTGAAGAACCCATTGAACAAAACAGTTTCGACCTGACACCCGGGAATAACCTCAGTATCCTCTCCTAGCTGGGCTGAGGTGGAGAGAACTAGCGCTGGAGAGAAAAGGTGGGGGACGACATCTAATTCTGTAGGTATCTCGGGTGCTTGCGTTTCCCTTATCCACAAGTCTACAGAAAACGATCCAACGTCTGTGCCGTCTCACGCCCACATGTCCCCACGATTCTGACGGCACACTCCTCGAATACCTCCGAGAATTGCAGCAAACGACCGGGAGAGAACCTGGAACCCAAACCTCACTCATCCGAGTCTCGCAGTTCACGAATCCGAGGTACTCCGTTTCCACACACGTGTGTGGCTGACGAACATCAACCTTTACACTTCTACTTTGTACTAATTACTCCGTACCTGATTCCCATCCATCGCAAGCCCACCGCCACAGAAACGCTATGGTCTGAACTCGAACAGAGTTACCAGCACTGCCAAGTTTTTTTTTCCCTTCCTTTTCCTTTCCCTTTTTTCCAGCTTTCACTCTTTTCGTCGCAAAGTAAACGTCTGTGTTGCAAAGGAAAAGCCGGAACTCACCTCTCGCATTGGTTCTCGCATGGAAATGACGGCACGCCTGGTTAAAGGAAGCTAGAGCCAATTGGACCTGCCTGCCCCGCCACACACGACACACACAGCACAGCGCGCTCCCGAGTCTCAACGTCGTTCCGTCTCGTTGAGGCTCTGTGGTTTTTTTTCTCTTGCAACGACGTAAACTCTCTGCCACACTTGCATCTGCCCTTGCACCCCATCCCGCATCCCGCGGCCACCACCACCACCACCACCACCACGACGCTTTCTCCCTTTAGTGGGCTCCCGAGTGGCTCAATCGACCTTGCCTGAATTCTTGAAAAAAACATCGGATCAACGAAGTCTCTCGCAAATCAGCCACAACCATGTCGACCTTCCGTAGGGTGTAAGTAATTGTCTACTTACCTTGCCATCACCTTCCCTTTCCTGTGCATCCCCTCCCCTCCCTCGCCTTGCTCCAAACCACAGCCGCAAACTCAGCCACACCACTCTCGGTCCCGGCATCAATATCACAAGACTACCGCCCCGATCTCCCGTCCTTCGCCCCATTTCCTCCCCGCACATGTCCGACCCTCTCCCGTCCTTTCCTGTACTGTTCTTGGTGTGAGATGAAGTGAGGCCAGGAAATGTGGCTGCAACCTCGACGTACTCGGACAGCTCCAAGAATGCCCAGTCCTACACGAAACTCCTGCCCCTCAACACCAAGACCCCCACCATCGCGATGTCTTCACGCACGCCCCTGAACCCCCTCTACTCCAAAACCACAAACCTATTGGACCACCACCACCATTACAACCAAAGCTCTCTCTCCTCACAACAGCCCGAAAATCCCCCTTCCAACCACCACAATGACTTCCATGTAACTAACATACCCCCAAGCGACGCCCGCCCCCAGGACCCTCCAATCCCAGGAAAAGAATACTACCCAAACCAACCAAAATCCCTCGCCGGCATAGCCCTCCGCGCCTTCCTCCTAGGCACAACCTTCACCCTCGGCCTCTTATCTCTAACCTCCATCCTCCTCTTCACCTCATCCACCCTCTGGCGCCTCCCCTTCTTCCTCTCCGCCCTCTCCCTCTTCCACTTCCTCGAATTCTACACAACAGCAGCCTACAACACGCCCCAAGCAACAGTCCACGCCTACCTCCTAACAGCAAACTGGCCCGCCTACGCAATCGCCCACGCAACAGCCTTTGCAGAATGTCTCCTCACAACCCTCGTCTTCCCTACTAGCGTCTGGGCACCCTTTGGCCTCCGCACCCCGTTGCTGCTTACAGGTCTGCTGCTCGTCGACATCGGCCAGACTGTCCGCTCCGCGGCCATGGTCACGGCCGGCCAGAGCTTCAACCACACCGTCCAGCACTACCGCGCCGAGTCTCACACCCTCGTCACGGGCGGCGTGTACGCCTACTTTCGGCACCCTTCATATTTTGGCTTCTTCTGGTGGGCCATTGGCACCCAGCTCGTCATGGGGAATGTGGTTTCCCTGGTGGCATACGCCGTTGTGCTGTGGTACTTCTTCTCAAAGAGGATACGCCACGAAGAGGAGCTGTTGGTGCGCTTCTTTGGGCAGGATTACGAAGACTATCGCAAGCGTGTTGGGACCATGATTCCCTTTTGCGGGTAGCATGGATTCGCCACTCTGTGAGGCTCCCAGCCTTTGTAGCACGCGACTAGAGAGCAAAGTTGCAGTTGAGCTAAATGCCAACTATCGTTTTTGTCTAAAACCCAAAGATGGTAGTGTACATAGAAAATTACCAGGCCAACGCCATGTTCCCTTTGACGTTGATTTCGCCGATTATGAGCTTGCAACTGAATTGCAGGCCATTTGCCTGCTGACGCTGCCGTACTTGGCCTGCCATGCGTAAAAGTACATCAGAGCCGCAAAGGGCTGCCCGAGGATGGTAAACGAAACCCAGAAAATGCAATTGCCGAGCATACGTCCCGTGGGAGACTGCATCTTTTCCAGAGGAGTGGTAAGGGCAATCAGGGGGAGTTGGAGGAACATGCCCGCAAAGGCAACACCTACATGATCCGTTAGCAATCTGTATTTGAAGATGGAGTGCCCCCAGAGGACAACCTACCAATAATGTTATGTGTCGGGATACCAACAAGAACCTCATGCAGAACCGCAGACGCGAAGAAAACGGCCAGCTGCGCGGCCCTCGGGCTCCATCCTCGGCCGATCAGAGGTGAGTAAACGTGACGCTTGAAGTACTGGTATACGGGCTTGTTCCACAGTCGCCAGTATGCACCCAGGCTCTCGCTGTTCCACCAGTCCTCGTAGAAACACCGGTCACCAAAGCGGGTGACCTCGGCGAGGGCGTTGAGGAACGACTGGAAGAGTGCAAAAAAGCCGGCGAGCCAGATGACCAGAGAAATCGTCGAGAGCTTCATCAGGCGCTCAAGAATTTTGGGAACGTCCAGAGACGCAATCTTGTCGAGAGAGTTGATGAGGACAGGGGCCGCGTACTGGGCGCTGGCAAACCAGATAAAGACACCAAGACCAAACACCTCTGCCATGCGCTTCGCGACAAAGACCCACCTGATCTTATCTGTCCTCGGGTACGCGGGCTGGTAGACCAGCGTCGGGGCCCACCAGAAGTACGCCAGGTTGTGCATCGAGATGTTCTGAGGGTAAGGGCATTGTTGGTAGATTTCGGGCATGGCGGCGAGCTCGCCCTTGACGGGGTGCAAGTAGGCATGTCGAAGGTCTCGGTTCGTAAAGGCATATGACGCCGTCTTGAGCCAGACGATGATGGCGTGGAGCTCGGTCAGAGTGCCGATCAACGGGTGGTGGATGTGGAAGTACACGACGTATGATGTAACGGTCAGAGCGAGGGTGATATTGACGGCATGGATCCAAGCAATGACCTTCCAGGTCGAATTGAACCTCGAGCGCTGGTCCTCTGTCGGGCTGGCGGCACCGTCTTTTGATTTCGCCCGCAAGCCCCTTGCTTGCTGGGCGGCGGCCAGTTCGATCAGATACGCGGCGAGCAGATGACAAGGGATCAGCAGGTATAAGCCCAAGCCGAGAGCGAGATCTTGCTGGCGGAAATCGTGGCAGCCAACACAGATCAAGACTCCATACTACGAATGCCTGGTTAGTGGCGTGGGCCTACACATCAGGAACACCTCATTGAGCCTACTTTTTGAATGTTCTCCATCATCAGACGAAGATTACCGACAACTATACTTGGTTAGCCAATGCCATCGAAGCCGGTACGGCATCGGCTGGACGTACTTAACACAATTATCATTAAGTTCCTGAAGCCAATGAAGCTCGGGGCTGTATTAGAGTCATGGCTCAGGGTTGATGGGCGGGATTTGGAGTGGACGGCAGCGACGTGTCTGTATTTCTTTTGAATTGCCCTCCTCAACTCGTCGGTCGTACGGTTGGTCTCGGGTGTAGTCGGCTTGACGGCGGCCTTGAGGTTGGAGTTGCCATTGGAAGTGCCATTGTGCTTGTTACGCAGGGAGGAGGAGGTGGTGCTTGAGCTCTCAAGGCTCGTCACCGTGGCCGTGTTCATGACGGGCAGGACGTCCTTGGAGCTATTGGATCCTCAATACGAATGTGTGTGAGAGAGAGGAAAGGAAAGCGTCCGTAGTGGATGACGAGGGGAAAGATGGGTGAAAGTCTAAAAGTGAGGAGACGTGTAGGCTGGTAAGGAAGAGCTATGTATATGCAATGCAGGGAGGGAAGTGGTGGCAAGCGCGATAAGATATCGGACTTGTTAGCAGTGAGGTAAGGTAAGGTGTAGGTAGGTAACAAAGTAGCTTCTATGCAAGACACCGCGCGCGGGGCCAGGCAAGAAGAAGAGTACGGATTGACTTTGTGGCCGGTGTTTCCAAGGGAAACGGACGGCGCCCGCGAATCGATCTGAGCTCCTTTCAGGATTGAGGAGAAGCTATTTTATCTGGATGGTCCAAGGTAGGTAGGGGCGCATTGGCCTTTTGGCTGTGCCTGGTGAGGGGCAATGGCTGAGGTGCGGGAAAGTGATTGAGTGGTGAGGTAGCTTAAAGAAGGGGGTACGTCAAGGCACAGGGGGGGGAGAGGAGACTGGCCCGGGGAGTCTAAGGTGAGTGTGTGTGTACGGAGTAGTGTCGTCGGAGGGAAAATCAGGTGGAGGAAGCTAAGCCGACGCCATCAGACCTTGTAGCGTGGGGATTCGTTCATCAACGTGGAGGAATGATGGAAGAGGAGGCGCGCTGACGACAAGAATGCAGACGGCGTGCAGGACGGGCTAATTGAAGAGACGCGATGCAAAGACTGATCAGAGACATAAAATGCAGGAGGGACGAAGTAAACAAAACAGAATCTTAAAAGAGAGAGAAAGCAGACCCAAGACGGACGAGTGATGAGTGACGACAGGCCAAGGTACTAAGGTAGATGATGGCAGGGCCCATTGGGGCGGGATTGGAAGGGGGGACCTTGGGAATGTCAGGGTCGTTGAGCTGTCTGACCCGGAACCTGGCTGGATCAACGGAGAGCGCCTCAGAGCCAGCGCTAATGCATGATGTGACCGCAGAGAAGAGACAGCAGAGGAGAGAGAGGGAGAAAAAGCCCATTGTGTTTAAAAAATAAAATAAAATAAAAATCACCCAACACATCCTGCATCCTGACGCCGCCAGCCTAGGCAAGTTGAGGCCTTGAGAGAGAAAAGTCGCATGCATCCAATGCACGCCAAGGGCCTCTACGGCTCCACGGATAGTGACGGCGATCCCCGGTGGCAGCTCTGAGTGGTCCAACATGGGGGTCGCCTCGTGGGTCTAGGGAACTTGGGAGTCAGAGAAAACGAAGAACTCTGAACGAGCCATGGCTTTGCAACTGGAATCACATGTGAAAATGAAATGCCTGTCTGACTGGGCAGTGGGGAGGGGCGGCCTTGAGGGATCGCACCTTGCCGTATTAAATTATCACCTCACGAAGAATCGCGGGATATTTTTGGGCATTCGCGGCATGGGAAATTTGGCACCTGGGCGCCCGATATTGGCCCGGATAAGAAAACCGATAAAAACCGTGGACCTTCCCGGGAAGTGGTGCGTGAATCGGTACGTACCCAGGCTGCATTAGCTCATCGGCGGAAATTGACGACGTTGGAAGGGACGTGCCTTCCTCCAGCTCCCAGCTCCCAGCTCCCAGCTGTGCAGCTCCAATTGTTCATTCTGGGTCATGTGACTGCGAGAAAAGTAGCTGGCCTGTGCACGCGTCGCGGTCGTTTTCACTGTGATTGGCGACGAACCAGCCTCGTGGAACCGAACAATGCTGAAGCTCCGTCACCAACAAGCGCTAAATCACATTTTACTGAAATTTCGGGGTTTAGTTCATCAGCCATAAACTACACATGAGCTCAATACCAACAAAGGGAGACTGCGAAAACCTCATGAGAGTGTAAAGATGGCGTATGAACCCCGAGGGGATCACCATGGCAGGAGAGGAGGAGGCCCAGGCGGCGATGGAGAGGGTCAAGATGGCGGTTTCGTGAGAGCCAGGGGTCGACGTGAGTTGTTACCTATGTTCCTCAGCACAAGCTCATGCGTATGATACCAGAGTGGGAACGCTCAGTCTACATTATGAGAGACTGAGGCAAACATCACCTGGTCTTCTTCCACACGCCTACTCCCGTGCTTGAGAGACGATGATCAGCTTCCAGGGGCATATAGCTGACTTCCCCAGGCCCTGTGACTGACTATGGCTCAACTGTCGCCAATTGGATGCGCCATCGATCACCACTCGACGGGGATGCGTACACCGGAGAAGTCGAGAGGCCAAGTGCCAGCTTCATCGTCGACGTAAGTCTTCCGCATGGCAGCTGTTTCCTCATGCCCCATCCCTGACACTGACATGCTCATAGTTCATACCACCAGCCGCAAGGAGGACAGATCCCGGCGACACAATCCCAGTGAAGCACCTCCACTCATCACTCAACAAGATCAAGCACCCGGTCAACGTGGTACGGTGGACGCCAGAAGGTCGCCGTCTGTTGACCGCGTCAAGCAGTGGAGAGTTCACATTATGGAACGGCACGGGGTTCAACTTTGAGACCATTATGCAGGCCCACGACTCCGCCATCAGAGCGTTGGCCTACTCTCACAACGACGACTGGCTCATTTCTGCCGATCACGACGGAAGCGTCAAGTACTGGCAGCCCAACTTCAACAACCTCCAGAGCATTGCCGCGCATAACGATCCGGTCAGAGACCTCGCATTTAGCCCCAACGACTCCAAATTCGTCACAGCATGCGATGACTCGACGCTCAAGATTTTTGATTTTGCTGGAGGAGTCGAGGAGTCGACCCTGAAAGGCCACGGCTGGGACGCCAAGAGCTGCGACTGGCATCCGACAAAGGGCTTGTTGGTATCAGGCTCAAAAGACCATTTGGTCAAGCTGTGGGATCCTAGGACAGGCCGATGCTTGACCACTCTCCACGGCCACAAAAACACAATCACAAAGACGCTGTTCGAAAAGGTTCAGGGTGACTGCCTGGCGACCTCGGCACGAGACCAGACGGCCCGCGTCTTTGACCTCCGTATGATGCGCGACATCTGCCTGCTCAAGGGACACGAGAAGGACATCTCGACCATCGCCTGGCACCCAGTCCACTCCAACCTCCTTAGCACAGGCGGCCACGACGGCTCCCTGTACCACTACATCCTCGACGAGCCCAACACGCCCGCCGGCCACGCAAACACCATGGCGCCCTACGATAGCTCCGACCCCTCAACGACCCCGGCGCAGACGATATATCCCGCCCACAAGGTCCCCTTTGCCCACGACTTTGCCATCTGGTCCCTCGACTGGCACC